GACACCATGCTTAGACAATCACTGTCATGAGTGAGGGACAACCATTAGAATAGCCATTGGAAATGCCTAAAACTTAGAAGTACATCAGCAAGCAGGATTGTGATTTCCATAAATTTTTCATATTCTAATTTGCACATGCCTATAACTCCCAACTTCTTAATGATTTGTATACAAGATATGTGTTTTAAATAACCAGCTACTGTGTGGTATAGAAAAGAGAGGATGCCAAAAATCATTTGCTGAAAGTAAAAGTAATTAAACTGGATTATCTTTAGGACTTCCTGTTGTTCAAACGTATCTACATCTGCCTTTATGGAAGAGTTCTCCCTCCCATATTTGAGTACTTAATGTTGTCCATTATGGGCAAGAATTATCTACAGATTCTTCTATCACCTGAGAACTGCCCATATAAACAAGTTTGCAGTAATTAGAGGACAATGTAAAAGAATACCACAATCTCTCTCTCTACTTAGATACAATAACTTATATATTACTGTTTTCTGCTTATAGAGTTATATGTATTTACATGTCAAATCTAATATACAACTGGGAACTTTCCAATTGCGAAAACGTAATTTGCGCTTGAGTGAGACATTCCTTGAAGATCTAAATATGTTGCCCAGTACCTATGAGAAGGGAGAGTATTTTACATTTCTGGAAATATATGGAACTCATTATTCACAGAGAGGAACCATTGGAGGAAAATATGAATTAATATACGTGCTGGATAACCGAACTATGACATCACAACGTAAGGATATAATGAAAGTAATCTCTTATAACCAAGAGGAAATAATGGGAAAACTGTCAATCAGGGCATCTGATTTCTGACCATCAACATGTTTTCTTTCCAATTGAGTTCTTCAAAAATCTTAATTTAGATCGGTTCAGGACACCAGTTGTAACTAATGCTCATTAACCCATTGTGATACTAAACATCTTATGATGTTTATATTGACCTGCCATTAGTTTTGTTGATGATTTCTTGACTTCAGAGGCAAGCAATGGATTCCCTGTACAGGTAGTTCTCAACTTACAACCAGTTGCTTAGTAACCATTCAAAGTTATAACAGACTCCTGAAACGTGACATACAACCTAGTTTTGAAATTTTGGGTGCTGTAGCATCCTTGCGGTTATGTGGGGGGAGAGAATGGATTTGCCCTTACAACCAATAGCAGGGACACTGCAGCATCTACTACTCCGGAGTTCCAGGGCTCCAGAGTCATGCTGAGAAAGGAGATTCCACCACTTGGTACTCTTGGCTCCATCCTGAAAGGGGATGCCATTTTCAGAGCGACTGCAATGAATTGTGGCAGCTCCTAAAATGGCACCTGCTTCCAGGACAGCCCCATGTGGTCTGCAGGGTTGCAAGGGATCAAATGCCATACTTTCCTTTCCCACTGCACGTTCCAAAGCTCTGGAGATCTACAGCAGATGAGTGATTGGTGAAAGGGTGTGGGGTGGAGGGTATGGGGAGGAGGGCATAGGATCTGGTGGGGTGGAAAATTCTAGTGTGGAAACCCTGAGGGGTGGGAATTGGAGTGTGGGGTGCCTCAGGATGGGGGAGGCTTTGGGAGGTCTGAGGTAGGGAGAAGTTAGAAAGGGTACCAGCCTTATTGTAACTCCTCATGTAAACCATTTTGTAAAGGTATGGATTTACCTACCACCTACCTTTTACAATTGTCTTTGCCTCAGAAGGCTTATTAACCCATTGTGATACTAAGCTTGAAAAGAATTTTATTTGCATTCAATAAATTCTTGATATTTTCTGGGCTAAGGCCTCACCAGCCTTTGAATAACTCAAACTTGGCAAGTTTAAGATTTGTGGACTTCAACTCCCAGAATTCCTGAACTAACATGACTGGAGGAGGAATTCTGGGAGTTGAAGTCCACAAGTCTTAAAGCTGTCAAATTTGAAGACCCCTGCACTATAAGATAATGAGGAATGGTTCACTGCTTCTCAGGCGGAAATTCCTTTACAGATGAAATCACATCTGCCCAATTCCAGGGATGAATCAGCTTGAAGCTGGTCCATGACTTTTTAAGCACCTTTTCTACATGCATTGTTTTGAAGAAGAAGAAAAAAAATGGATGCCCTGATGTCTGAGTCCTTGATCTGTGCCACATCGATACATACATATATATCAGCCTTTCCCCAAAATGGTGCCTTAGAAATTTGATGGTTATAACTCTCAGTAAGATGTGATGGCTCAGCAATTAAAGATACTGAGCTTGTCAGCTGGATGGGTTCAAGATCCAAGCACTGTATGCCACAGTGAGCTCCTCTTACTTGCCCCAGCTCCTGCCAACCTGGCAATTCAAAAGCACGCAAATGTGAGTAGATAAATAGGTACAACTTTGATGGGAAGGTAACCTGGGCATATAGTCATGTTGGCCACATGACCATGGGAATGTCTTTGGGTGGCACTCAGCTAAGAAGCAGAGATGATCACTGCCCCCTAGAGTCAGATTTTATAACTTCAGAGTTTGTAATTCTCAGAATTCCTATCCTGTATGGAAATTGTATTCTAACATATGTGGACAACATCAGATAGGGGAAAAAGATTACCACTAGAGATAGTTAATCTGCACTTCTGATTTGATAACCCTTATATTAGAGGTTGGTTCAGATCTCAAGTATGAGCTATTTGTCTACCTGTTGCATGGGGCAGGGAAGAAAGAGAGAGAGGTGACAAAATTAAAAAAATAAAAGAAAGAGACACAAAGTAAAAACATTTCTATTTCTACTATTGGCTATGGCTGCACCCATTGCTTGCTTCATCACTTCCCACTTGCCACCTCTTTCAATGGATATAAAATCAAGAGTTTCTAACTAACAATGCTTTAATTAAAAGATATAAAAACATTGCAAAGCATTGGAAATATGCTGTTTACTTCCCACCTGTAATCATTTTTACTGTCTGTATTTTCAGGGATCACTACAAAAGATGTAAATGAATGCCTAGGCTTTAATTTAAATATTGAGGCCAACATATTTTTCGCAGAAGTCAAAACGAAGATTAAAAATGAAAAATGTAAAAGGTTACAGTCAGAAAACGGTAAGTCGTAAGAATGAAGAAAAAACAATTCTGGCACAGCAGTAGGCTAGCCCCAAATTTAAAACTGAAACCACTGTAAAAGTCTGACTCACAGACAAACACAATACAGAAGCCTGATGATGGCAGATGAGATTCTGCCGAAACGTTGCTACAACTTTAAAAGCACAACTACAATGATGTGGGAAAATACCCGAACAAAGCTGAATACCATACATATAAATACCCGTGAAAACTCAAGAATATGTATGTATGTATGTATGTATGTATGTATGTATGTATGTATGTACCAGTATATTTCACTAGCATGCCAATCACTATATAATGCTATGATATAGTAGTAATAGAATAGAATACTTTATTGGCCAAGTGTGGTTGGACACACAAGGAATTTGTTTTGGTGCAAATGCTCTCAGTGTACATAAAAGAAAAGATACATTCATCAAGAATCATCAGGTACAACACTTAATGATAGTCATAGGGTACAATAAGCAATCAAATCATATAGGAAATAGTCAATATAAATCATAAGTATACAAGCGACAAAGTTACAGTCCTACAATCACAAGTGGGAGGGGATGGGTGATAAGGAGTGATGAGAAAATTAACAGTAATAGTAGTGCAGACTTTGGAATAGTTGAACAGTGTTGAGGGAATTGTTTGTTTAGCAGAGTGATGGCTTTCAGGAAAAAACTGTTCTTGTGTCTATTTGTTCTGGTGTGCAGTGTTCTATAGCATCATTTTGAGGGAAGGAGTTGAAACAGTCTGTGTCCGGGATGTGAGGGGGTCTGTAAATATTTTCATAGCCCTCTTTTTGTCTCATGCAGTATAAGGGCCTTGATAGAAGGCAGGTTGGTAGTAATTGTTTTTTCTGCAGTACTAATTATCCTCTGAAGTCTGTGTTGTCCTGTTGCAGAACCGAACCAGTCAGTTATAGAGGTGCAGATGATAGATGCAATAATTCCTCTGTAGAACTGTATTAGCAGCTCCTTGGGCAGTTTGAGCTTTCTGAGTTGACACAGAAAGAACATTCTTTGTTGTGCATTTTTGATGACGTTTTTGATGTTAGGTGTCCATTTTAGGTCATGTGATATAATAGATCCTAGAAATTTGAAGGTCTCTACTGTTGATACTGTGTTGTCTAGTATTGTAAGAGGTGGTAGTATGGGAGGGTTTCTTCTAAAGTCTACCACCATTTCTACAGTTTTGAGTGTGTTCAGTTCCAGATTGTTCCAGTTACACCACGAGGCAAGTTGTATAACCTCCTGTCTGTATGCAGATTCGTCATTGTCTCGAATGAGACCAATCACTATTGTGTCATCAGCAAACTTCAGTATTTTAACAGATGGATCATTTGAGATGCAGTCATTGGTATATAGGGAGACGATAAGTGGAGAAAGCACACAGCCTTGGGGGGGGGGGGTGCTGTGCTGATTGTACAGGTATCGGATGTGATTCTGCCTAGCTTCACCTGCTGCTTCCTGTCTGTTAGGTAATGCTTATGTCATATATTTGTGTGAATGGACTTTCATGAATGTTAAAGTATATTAGACTTGCAAAAAGCAAGCAAAGAAGGCAGACATTTTTGCTGAGAAAGATTTCAATTAATGCAGTGGAAATTTTCAATGAAAGACGAAGAATGAAGAATGCATCAAAGGGACAATAAGTTATATTTCGCTTGAAGTAATGAGGCAATCTCCCAGTTCAACTTCAAACCTTTATTGTCAGAGTACAACATGTGTACAATGAGATTGGCTGAGCCTCCCTTTGTGCACCCCTCCAAACACAAACCAACTCATAGTGAAGACAGAAAATCCCTAACCCAGTGAATCCTACTAACAAATTTACAATCCCATTGCACCAAGTGAATTTATTGCACGTCGTGCCGGCCCTGCAAGTCACTTGTACTATATTGTTGTCAGGTTATATACCATTCAGGAGTCTGACAGCCCGGGGATAAAAACTGTTCTTCAGCCTGTTGGTGTGGCTGCCTATGCTTCTATATCTCCTTCCCGATGGTAGGAAAGTAAAGAAGTGCTGACCAGGGTGTGAGTCGTCCCTGAGGATTTTCCTTACTCTTCTAAGGCAGCGAGTCCTACAGATATCATCTAGTGGTATCAGGGGACCTGTGAAAAGTGCTGAGGTGGGACTGGCCACGTCTCAGAAGATTGGTCAAGTCTCTTTAGAGGTATAATCACAGAAGAGTTAGTCTGTGGAAACCCTCATGTAGAACAACCTTCGATATGGGTGTCCTACCTTGAGAGGTATAAGCTAGCCTAACCCAACTAGATTTTGAATTGGGTAGGTGCCCATGGATACTGTGTTACTGGGTAAGGGAGTTGTTCAGTTCAAAATGTAAACAAGAAAGGTGAGCATCAGAGGTGGTATTCAGCAGGTTCTGACCAGTTTTGGAGAAATGATAGTGGAAATTTTGAGTAGTTTAGAGAACCAGCAAATACCACCCCTGACTGGAGATTTTACAGAATCCTTCCTCTGCCATGCCCACCAAGCCACACCAACAGAACTGGTAGTAAAAACAATTTGAATCCCACCACTGGTGAGCATGCAGTTGTTTTTAGGTAACTGAGTCACCGAAACAGAACTGTGATGACCCGGGAAGCAGCACACATGTAATAAATTCCCAAACGTAAATAAATCTTCCATTTACATTTAAAAAGTGGGGCTTCAGTCACACAGTTGAAGCTGCCATCTTGAATTTTCTCTCACACACACAAACATGCCATCTTTCTGTATGCATGTGTTATTCAACAAAGGCAAATTTATATCTGTATATCTCTAGGTCATGAAATAATTGAAGAGTGATCAAGTAAGATGCCTATTCTAATAAATTGCCTGGTCATTCAGGCACCATGAAATTCAAGCAGGAAGCCCTGAATTATTCACTGCGTCTCTGGGTCACTAGTGTATAAATTGGAATAGGGAGTACCATACCACCTGAAAGACAACTTCAGGAAATTAGTTACTACCAATGAATATACAAGATTGAAGGTCCTGTATCTGAGCAAATATAGTTGGTAGAAACTCACAGTTACTCTATTTTCAACCATGGTAAACATCATCATTTTCCTTTCTTCGAAATTATAGTGAAAATAATTATAATTTTCACTTATATCATCTTCTTTATGATAATCTTCTTCGTTACTCAGGGAAGTTGTTCTGGAAAGCCACTCTTCCTCTTTTTTCACCTCCTGTTTTTTTCTATTCCAGGTTCTGAGAATGAAAAAAAAGGCATTATCCAAGATATAGTCTCTCTGATTCAAGGTGGAACAACAGCTACTTTAACAAAGCTGAATGAAATGCTTTCTTCAAATGTCAATTCAGTTGATGTTGAACAGTATGTTGAATGGGCTGCTACATTACCTCAAGCTCCTGCTTTGATCAAACAAGAGGTGGGAGGATTTTCTTCTATCAATAAGTTGGAGATTTCTTTTTTCTTTTTTTTTAATAGAATACTTTATTGGCCAAGTGTGATTGTACACACAGGGAATTTGTCTTGGTGTAAATACTCTCAGTATACATAAAAGAAAAGATACATTCATCAGGAGTCGAGAATCATAAGGTATGACACTTAATGATAGTCATAGGGTACAATAAGCAATCAAATCATACTAGGAAACAGTCAATATACATCGTAAGGATACAAGCGACAAAGTTACAGTCATACATACATATGAACCTATAAATGAACAGGTTTCTTCTTTCTTGAAGAAATATTTAAAAGTTAAAAGCTTTTCAGAATCAAAGATTCTAGTCAAACATAAGTAGTTCTCAAGTTACAGCAGTTCATTTACTGACTGTTCAAAGCTACAATGGCACTGAAAAAAGCGAGTTGTGACTGTTTTTCACACTTAGAATGATGGCAGCATCCCCATGGCCACATGATCAAAATTTGAACACTAGGTAATTAGCTTATATTTGTAATGGTTGCAGTGTCCCAGGGTTATGTGGCTTTCTGAGACCTTCTGACAGACAAACTCAATGGGGAAGCCAAATACACTTACCAATTGGGTTACTAACCTAACAACTGCAGTGATCTGCTTAATAGCTTTGGAAAGAAAGGCTGTAAAATGGGGCAAAACTCACTTAACAAATGTCTCACTTAGCAACAGGGATTTTGGAGCTCAATTGTAGTCATAAGTCGAGGACCAGCTGTAAATCTAAAAAACCCCTTCTGGTGATAATGGGAATGTTTTGCATGAGGTTTTCTGGAAATGGTTTGCTACAGCTTTCTTTCAATACTTTACTCTTTTTAAAAAAGTCCTGGGAGTTCCTAATGAACCTTCCTTCCTTCCTTCTTCATTTCATTGCTCAGGCAAGACTTTTAAAACCTCTGGACCTTTACTTTATTTTTCTCAGCAACCTTTATATTTATATGCTGCAGCAGTAGCAACAAATCTGTAATAAACAAATATTATAATGTCTGCATCCTTAAGAATCAGAGTATTTATTTAGGAAAGGGGAATATTACTACAGCAGAGTATGGATGTTCTCAGGATGAAGTGCTGTATCCTGCACAGAACTGTGTAATAATGGTAAGCAATGGTTTAAACTGAAAAATAAATGCACACATACATGTGGTTAAATATTTTTGCAGATGGCCCCGATTTCTGAACTTATCCCACTGAATATCCCAGACTCCCGACTAAAGAAAGTAAATCTGGACAGAGCTGTAGAGGATTACGTGGCTGAATACAGCGTATGCAAATGCAAACCTTGTCTACACGGTGGAACGGTGATCCTGATAGAAGGGAAGTGTGAATGTGCTTGCACTCCATTTTACAAAGGAGAAGCCTGTGAAATACCCACTTCAGATTTGAGACCAGGTTAGAAATCATTCAGTGACTTACCATATATTTTAATGGTTCTTTTAGCTCTACTGTGTTATTTAAAAATATTAAAAAACTTAAATTGTAAGCAAATAAAATAATAGAGACTGTTTCATTAAATAATATCCATCACCCAATCAGCAGCAGTCAAATCAAAGCCATCTATGACAAATCAGAAAATGCTACCAATTATTCTTAACTTAGTAGAGTTGCAACTATGAATACATGTTTATAGAAGAGTTTGGATGGAATTAGAACAAAGCTAATCTCTGTATAGAATAAGGAACGCGGTGGCTCAGTAGCTAAGATGCTGGGCTTGTCGATCAGAATGTCTGCAGTTCGGCGGTTCGAACCCCTAGCACCATGTAATGGAGTGACCTCCTGTTACTTGCCCCAGCTTCTGCCAACCTAGCAGTTCAAAAGCATGTAAAAATGCAAGTAGAAAAATAGGGACCACTTTGCTGGGAAGGTAACAATGTTCCGTGAGCCTTTGGCATTTAGTCATGCCGGCCACATGACCACAGAGACATCTTTGGATAGCGCTGGCTCTTCAGCTTTGTAACGGAGATTAGCACCACCCCCTAGAGCCGGAAATGACTAGCGCGTATGTGCAAGGGGAACCTTTACCTTATATAAAGTAAATAAGAATTTTCTCCTTATTGTTTTTGACCACATCCACACACTTCACTAAAATATGTAATGTTTAATCTTTGTTTCTTGGAGGGGAAAAAACTATTGGTTGATACAGATTTATGCAATAAGTTAGCCCAAATAGCCAATCAATATATAATTAAGGTATACTGTGTAACTGTGAGATTCTGTAAGTAGATGGAGTTATTTCTGAAGTTCTGAATGTTCTGAAGTTAGACAAATGTTTTCTGATCTTGATACAGCTGATACAGCCATTCATGGGAGCTGGAGCTGCTGGTCTAACTGGTCCACCTGTCAGCAAGGACGACGCCAGCGAACAAGAAAATGTAATAATCCTGCCCCTGGATATAGGGGCAGGTCATGTCCTGGCGCAAATTTAGAACCAGGCCATTGTTAATTTCAGAAGATAACTAACAGGTTTGTAGCTTCTGGATATGTACAATGAATATGGTATAATTGTAACATAAGACTTTGGGACACTTTGGATTTAATGCTTCTGGAAATAGCTTATATGCTTCCTATGGAGAAATGAAACTAATGAAGGATTTGCTGGTTTAGTCGGAAGGAAGGGAGGGAGGAAGGGAGGGAGGGAGGTAGCAAAGAAGGAAAGAAGGAAAGATGGAAGGGGAAGGAGAGGGAGTTCAAGACAACAAACATAATGGTCCCTCCTCAAAGAGAAACCCTGTGAGTTATATTCCTCATTCATAGTCCAACTCCTAAATTGAATGTTTCTCAACCTGGACAACTTTTAGTTGTATGGCTTTCAACTCAAGAATTCCTAGCCAGCATGGGAGTTGAAGCCCACACATTTTAAAGTTTGCAGGGTTGAGAAATACTGCACTAGGCCGCACTGGCTCTTTCATAATAGGTACTAGTACACAGAGGTGGTATTCAGCAGGTTCTGTCCGGTTCTGGAGAACTGGTAGAGGAAATTTTGAGTACTTTGGAGAATCGGCAAATACCACCTCTGACTGGCCCTGCCCCATCTATTCTCTGCCACCCAAATCCCAGCTGATTGGTTAGGTCTTCTTTTGTTGCCTTGCACAGGAGAACAGAGCTGGTTAGTGGGGTGGGAAGAGAATGGGATTTTGCAGTAACCTTCCCCCAGGAGTGGGGTGGGAATAGAGATTTTACAGTATCCTTCCCCTGCCATGCCCACCAAACCATGCCATGCCGACCAAGCCATGCCCATAGAATCGGTAGTAAAAAAATTTGAATCCCACCACTGCTAGTACAGAAAATTGCAGGATATTCTCCCATCTAAAAAGGGTTCCTCTACCAAGTTCTATACCTTACAGTCAGCAATTCCTAGGGAGTAAAATTCGCAGGGACTCCTTCACCTTTGTGCCAGGTTCTACCCAGCCATTCTCTTTGGATTAAGGCATCCATTGTATTCTTTTTTTTCCCCAATGTGCTCTTTGTCTTTTCAAAGTGACAATGTTTTAAAGTAAGCCAGGTGTCACTGTGCTTCTACATTTCCTCCCTCCCCACTTTTCAGGAGTTAAAATTTTGGTTATACCGTGTTTCTCATAAAATAAGACCGGGTCTTATATTTTTTGAGCCCCGAAAAAATGGCTAGGCTGTCTTTTGGGGGGTGACTTAATTCCCCCCCTTGCATCCTCATCTAGAGTGCCCTGCGGGCAGCCTCGCCACCAGCCGCTCCTAACGGGTGATCATGGTGAAGCGCAGAGAGCTCCCTACTCCCACCAAACACCTTTGCTGCAGACCCAAGACCTTTGGCACCCGCCGCTGTTGCTTTCCCTTCTGCCCATTCCACCGCCACATTTGGAGCTGCCACTTTCGTGTTTGGAGTGCCGCTGCCATTTGGAGTGCTGCCGCCATTTGGAGCACCGCCATCACGTTTGGAGCTGCCACTTCCGCGTTTGGAGCTGCAGCCGTGTTTGGAGTGGCAGTGGTGCTTCAAATGGCGGTGGTGCTCCAAACAGCAGCAGTGCTCCAAACACGGAAGCGGCAGCTCCAAACATGGCGGCAGCTCCAAATGCGGACATGGCAACTCCAAACAGTGGCAGTGCTCCAAACAGCGGTGGTGTTCCAAACGCGGAAGTGGCAGCTCCAAACGCAGCGGCAGCTCCAAATGCAGAAGCGGCAGCTCCAAATGGCAGCGGTGCTCCAAACAGCAGTGGTGCTCTAAACGTGGAAGTGGCAGCTCCAAACGTGGCGGCGGTATGGGCAGAAGGGAAATCAACAGTGGCGGGCGCTGAAGGTCTTGGGTCTGCAGCAAAGGTGCTTGGCAGGAGTAGGGAGCTCTCCGCGCTCTGCCATGATCACCCATTAGGAGCAGCTGGTGGCGAGGAATTGCTGCCCGCGGGGCGCTCCTAATGGCAAGTCCCCCGCCCTTCCCCCCATTTCGCATGTTTTAAAATAGACCTAAATTTGGGGGGAGGGGCTTAATTTCATTTTATGCCTAGAAAACATGCTGGGTCTTCCTACTGGGGGAGGTCGTATTGTTGGAGAAACACGGTAGTTGTGACAAAGTGTTTTTATTGATATTTGTTATAGATATGGAAGCGACCATTTATACTCCTGGTTTCTTTCTTTTTATACTATCAGTACTTATTTAGCAATTTTATCAAATATGTTGGAGTGACACTGACAAATGCAAGTTCTAAGCTATTTCAAAATAATTTTGTGCCTGTTTGGAATGATATTTTAAAAAGATCTACCAAGGTAGGATTAAATGGCAATTATCTTTGTTGGGAAGAATCTCTGTAATTAGAATAAATGTTTTACCAAAGCTGTTCTTTTTATTGCAGACGTTGCCAATATTGATGACTGATGTTCCATTTAAACAACGGCAAACAGATTTTTCTAAGTTTATATAGCAATGGGGGAAAAACTGAAGAATTAAATATAAATTGTTGCAAGTTGCTAAACATAGAAAATGTTTGGGTTTATCAGATTTAGAATTGTATTCTGGTGCTTCTTGTTTGATCTGGCTGAAAGTCTGGGTTACCATTAAAAATAAGAGATTAGTACAACTGGATGGCACGCCTACTATCGCATAGCAAGATTAAAATAAACACTGACTTTTTGAATCATTTTGTTTGGTGAACCATCCTAAGAATTTGGAATAAATATAAAATACGGCTTTCTCCTAAGATATTTCTTTGGGAGTCATATCAGGAAGCCTTTTTCAGAAAACAAATGACGGTCAGACTAAAACGGTGGACTTATGGTGAAATAATATCTTTTAATCAAGGGGAACCTAATCTCAAGTCAAAAGAAGAATTGAAGTCAGGAGGACATGTTTGTCACTGATTCATATATTTATAACTGGGAAAAAAGATTTAATTTAAACAAGAAATTATGGGTTTGAATCAGTAAAATTGAAATTTTACTGTTATTGCCAAGGTTTACAAAAAGTTGTTGAAACTGAATATGAAAAACAAATATGTAAAATATTGTATAAATCAATGGGCAAAAAATGTGAATATAATACAATCCTTGAGGAATGGGAAAATGTGGATGCTTGGTCTGAAATTTACACTGAATTATAATTTTAAAGAAAACTTTTATAGTATGATGTATCATTGGTACTTAAAACTTGACGAATTGTCTAACATGTATAAAGGTATCTCAGATGTATTTTGGAAATATTGTAAATAAGGAACTTTTTATCATCTTTGGCAGATTTGTGATAAAACAAAGAAGTGTGTGTGTGGGGGGGGGTAGATTTATGCTCCAATTCAGAAGATTCTTAAAATGAATATAAAATTGAAACTGAATTTTATATGAGTCAAGAAGGAAAGCTACATCAATCCCACAATGGAAGAATGGATGGAAAAAGTGATGGAGTTGCAGAGATGGCAAAATTAATTAGTTTTAATCATAGAAAAGAATATATTTAGTTTTGCTTCTGCTTGGAGACCCCTTCTAGACTTTGCATTAGAGAAAAAAATGTAATTCAGATTTAGGGTTTTGTTGATTACATTAGGTTGCTGTTATAAAAATGGTTAGTTTTTACTAAATATGTAAAACGTTGAGGTTGTAATTCTTTTTTGTATTTTACTATGCTGAAAAAAAAAAGTTGGAAGTCATTGCTTTATTTTCCCTTTCCCTCTGGTCCCATACTTCTCTTTCCTCATTTCTTCCTTCCCCATTTCCCTACTTTCTTTGTTTTCATTTACTGTATATTTTATATTATGATATAAATTTAAAAAAAAACTTTTAAAAAGTTAGAACTTCTGTCCAAGCTTTGATCAGTATACAGTTATTACTTAATCCAATCCTATAACCTTTTTTTAAATCTAAAAATTGAGGTTGATAATACTAAGATATTCTTTGACTCATGCAAAATGTTGATAATTATGAAAATTGTAGTGTCAATACATTTAATGTGGGAAGGCCATATACTTGCTCAAGGCCTGTTTTGGTTACACATACGTTTGCTCAAAAGAGTGACTAACGGTGATATGTATTAGACTGCACTAGGTGCTCTTTCCTTTGACCACAACAGAAAAAAGATCATGCTCCTGAATGACAATTTGGGAGTTATGTTTTCTGTGACGAAGTTAATATCCTGATCATCAGAAATGCCATGTGCCCTGGTTGTTCCAAAGGTGCTTTTTCAGGAGACAACAGGACTTTCTTGTTTTTTCTTTTGAAGACATTTCGCTTCTCATCCAAGAAGCTGCTTCAACTCTGACTGGATGGTGAGAAATGGGAGGATTTATATTCCTTGCAGACAATTGGTCATTTGCATCCTTTTAGAGCAGGGGTCGCCAAACTTTTCGACCTCGGGGACCACCAAACTCAAAATTTTAAATCCCAAGGACCACTGATATGATTTTTTTAAAAAAAGATAATATATTTAATATAAACATTTTATTTTTATATTAAATATACATTTAATATTAAAAGAATAATTACACACACACACATACAAATGCTTATTTAATTATAACAAAATCGTAAACGCTTAATCATAACTGTGGGGCAGAACGAAGGGAAAGGAGGGGCCTCTCTCATCCTTTGCGGGGAAAGAGGGAGGATTTAAGAAGCCACATGGAGCCTGGAGGCTGGGAAGATCTGGATGGGGAGGAACCGGCTCCCCCTCAAATGGAAGAAAAGCAGAGCCATCTCATATCTCCCCCAAGTCAGACGAAACCTCTCCCTCCTTTGCCAATTGTGGCTGCCTGGAGTTGGGGGAGAGAAGGAGGGCTGGGCTGGAAGTGCCGACAAAGACGGGCTCCTAATAACTCCTAACGGCCTCCACATAAGAAGAGGACTCCCCGAGGCTGAGCTCCAGGTTTCTCCTGTTGCTTCCAAGCAGAGAAGGATCCCTTCCTATGTGGAGGCTGAAGGGGGGGGGTGTCGAGCCCAGAAAAGCTGGAGTTCTCGCCTGCACAAATAGGTTGGTTATTAGGAGCCCGTCTTCCTCAGCGCTCTTTTGGTCTGGGCATTTGGTCTTCCCCCTCCCCATGCCAAAGGAAAGCCAGCCGGGCTTCTCCTTCCCTCCTACCCTTCCCCCCACTCAATCTTACTTTGGGACAGAGGGGAGCGCGCTGGAAACATGTGTTGGCTTTTCCAACACGCCTTTCTCCGGCTCTCGCTCGCAATTCTTCACGTTCCTCCAGGCCTGGCTTGCTGAGGGGGAGAGCAGCCCCAGAAAAAGAAAGCAAGCAGAAACAGCTCTCGCTGGGGCGAAAGACCAGAGATTGGAAGACACAGGCAACAGAAAGCGGTGCTTTTCAAAGACAGCAGCTTCCGTGTTCTCTTGCCTGTGCCTTCCTCGATCTCAGCTCTTTCGCCCCAGCGAGAGCTATGTTTCTGCTTGCTTTTCCTGTGCTTTCCCCGGGCAGCGATGGCTGGGGCTGTGGGGGAGGGGGAGGAGAGCAGAGTGCCGAGAGGGATGAGGAAACTGATGCCGACGCCCCATTTCGGACCTCAGAACTGGATGGTGAGCGCAGACTTGCCCACTCTGTCCCCTCCCACCACCACCAGCTGGTACTTTTCCTGCCCTGGGCCATCCCTACAGGCCGTGGCCATCGAGGAAGAGCCCAGGCCAGGAGAGGCAAACTGGAAGGTGTGGGAGTGCCACGCAAATGCAAGTAGCGTGACTTTCCTGCACCTTCCAGCAATCTCCATTGCCGCTTCAGCCCACCTGTACCGCTTGCCCCCCTCTTGCTGCAATAGCACCATTACCTCGTCCTGCCCAGCGAGGGCTGCACTGCTTTTTGCAGGTTTGCGCTCGGCCAAAGGGTGGGAGCCAGCGGGTGGGTGGGCTTTGGGGGTGCTTTGGGGGGACATTTCTCTGCAGCCCACCAAAATTTTCTCATGGCCCACCAGTGGGCCGCGGCCCACCGGTTGGCGACCACTGTTTTAGAGGGTCATTGAAGCACTTGGAGGTTTTTTCTGTGCCCTCAGGGTCACCCGAGTAGTGGTCCTGGCTCCTGTTTACTCAGGTGACCCTGAGGACATAGATAAATCTCCAAGTGCTTCAACAACCTTCTAAAAGGATACAAATGACCAGCTGTCTTCTTAATAAATTATAACATACTTATTGAGACTACAATAAAATGTTTCTCCTGATGAGGGTGCTAGCTAATCAGCTAAATATTTTATTAAATGCAGACAGGCAAGAGAAAGAGAATGAGAGATGTACAAACAGAAAGAAATATCAAATTCTATTGCCATATAGTATCCTTACCGTTTGAGGCTGTTTGGCTGTTTTTCTTGTCCCACCAAATACTTATTTATTGCAGCATATAAGCCAAACTTGGCTGATCTAAAAATAACAATAACAACAATGAAACTGAATTTAGTTGATTAGTACTAGGATGGATGTCTAGGAAATCCCAGATCTATATTCTAGATTAGGAAGTTACCTCAGAAGTAGGCTACTGGGAAAAAAACACTCACTTATTGCCAGGAAAACATTATTGTGTCCAATGAGGAATGGAGTCGAACTAAAATTCTTTACCTTAAGTTTACCTTAATCATTGAATTTCCAAAAGACTGTCTATTCTCATTTCCAGATTATTTCAGTTTAATTGCTTAAGGTTTTTACAATTGAAACGAATTCTCTATTCTCCATCTACTGTTGCTGTAAAATGATTACTGCCCTTACCCATAAGGAAGTTTGGGGGAAATTCTCAATCCTGGATTAAAATTTCTGGCCATTGATAAAATATAATTCACAGTAATTGTTATGAATAAATTCATGATACTGTAAATTTTAGGGTGTGTCAAATTTTTCAACTTTCAATTTCCAAACATTAGGGGTACTCAAAAGTTGTGACATGCCTTGGGGATTGTAAAGGTAGTTTGGTTAAATATAATTCAGATGTGATTGTTAAGTAGCTGCATAAATATCGTAACTTTTTAACATTTTGTTTGTTTAATTACTGTATGTGCAGCATTATTTGTCTTTTCCAGGCCATAAGCTTGGGGAAAAAAGCTCCATCAGCTGGCCCCCTTGTCAGACAAAAGAGTAGAATCTGTAAGAAGTAAATGATGGTGACGTGAATGGTTTTTTTTTTATATCTCTTGTCCTTTGATCAGATTCCACTTTTGTGTTTCATAAAGGCTTGGATTAAGCAGTAAATACTGAAATATTTTAAACACAGTAACTACTGAGACAAATTCAAGTTTGAAGCCTGATATGTCAAAGAAGCAAACATCTTGGAACTGAGAATTCATCTTTGCTGTTATATAACCTCTGATCAACCGTCAAGCAAAATAGGGCATGTTGTCCTGCATAACCTGATAACTGAAAATTAGGATTCATGGTGGGTCAACTTTCCTATGCTCTGGAATGCCCCCATTCCCCGATCTCAAATTCTATAAGATCTTTTAGGCACCTGTTGGAGACCCATATTTTCACCCTACATGAAGGTGGCTTGGAGGGCCACTCTTCAGATGTTATTTTCTTTCTGCCACCATTAACAAGTTGTGGATAAAGGTTATGGTTAGTATAATGTATTTATAGACTGCTTTTCGTTATTATAACCTGGTAGTCAATATAAAATTTATGTAATATCTAAATTAGTAGTAGTACATATATAATTTATATAAATATATAAATATAATTAATAATATTTTCAGATCCATATTTTTCCCACTGCGTACATATTATAATGAAACCACTAAGAGATTAAATAAGTCTTTTTGTAATGAACCAGTTAGGGGATATCCATTATTCACAAATGTCCACTAAATGCAGAAGTATATAATTAGAGCAATGTATGGCATTTGCATGACAAGGTCATTGTACAAAAGATGTAAATCCCCATGGAAATTTGGTCCACTGGGTGCAAAGTTATCTTGAGGTCTAGAAAATACAGTTTTCCACATATTTTCAGAGTCATAGACTAACAGGATGCATCTGCAGCCATATGAGAGCAAATGCTATCCCTCAAGTGCGTCTTTCCATAGAACCTAGTCTTCAAGTAACAGGCAAGGTATGTGAATTAGTCACTGGCAGTTTGAAGAACATCTTTCATGCGGCTTTAATAATTGCTTTATTAACTCTAGTACCTTGACCTCTTGTACAGAGAATAGAAAAACCATGTGCCCCATAGAACTTCCCATCCCCTGAATTTACAGACCTTAGAACAGGGCTATCAAACTCCTGGCCTGTAGGCTGGATGGATCATGCGCTGGCCATGCCCACGCCCAGTTTAGAAAAGGGGGGAAAGTCCTGGTACATCATGTGACACCGCCTTTGCAACATGAGTTTTGCATCTCTGCCTTAGACCAATCTACCAAAATCCAGTGACAAAATATTTAACACATTCATTTTAACTCTTAAAACTCTTTAAGCCCTCTCCCCAAGTCCATAGACTTAAAAATGGGCTACAACAATTAACTCTGTGACCACATCTATAACATTTACAAACAACAAACAGGATTCAAAGTGTACAACTCTGACTAGTATTAGTTACAAGATAGAACAAGATCTTAGAACATACCAATGTTCACAATCTGTTCTTCCTGTTCAATGACCAGCTTTCTCTGAAATTACTAGTATATTGTAAATATATTGTTTAAAGCATCTGTACTCAGGCCACTTCATTCTTCAAACGAATGTAGTGTACAGGTAAGGCCAGCACTGTTGCCTGCTTGAGGTAAAATTGAAATATTGTTAAGATTTGAAATCAGGTTTGAAATCAGTATTTGACTTTATTTTGAACATTTACGCCCTTCCTGTCTGACAAAGGATGTACACCACAAGGCTTTTGTTATGCAATTCTTTTGCCTCTTTTGCAGAAGGTTCCGACGGTGTCTAAGTGCAGAGTTCTTACTTTCCTCCTGTTTTCCTACTGTCTTCTCCTATCATATTTTCTTTCCACTGGAAAAAATAATCAAAATGGAAAAAGTTAATAGCTGAAGGATGTCTTTTCACCAACAGCATTACGAGTGGTCCATCTGAAAAGACAGAGCTAATCACAGTGGCTAGTGGTTGCATGAAAAGCAAAGCAGGATACTAAAATGACAAATACATTTATGGGAAACAGCCAGTGGTGGATTCAAAAAAATTTATTACTAGTTCTGTGGGCTTGGTAGGCAGGGTGTGGCTTGGTGGGATGGCTTGGTGGGTGTGACAGGGGAAGGATACTGTAAAATCTCCAGTCAGAGGTGGTTTTTGCCGGTTCTCCGAACTACTCAAAATTTCTGCTACCAGTTCTCCAGAACTGGTCAGAACCTGCTGAATTCCACCTCTGGGAATGGCAATAACTTAGAGTGAGAGCAAATTATTTCCATACAGAATAAAGATGAAAAAGGTTCATGCCAGCAGGGATTCAGTGATGTCCTTCTAGACAGCATGGTCAGTTCTGTTATATCACCAGTATAGGATCAATTTTTTGCCGCATTGTGGTGGGCTATGGGTATTTAAGAGGAAAAAGACTTTATTTACTGGGACAAAGTAAAGAAATAATAGTAAAAAATAAACCCACCCATATGTATAATGCGGTCTCATCTACTCTAGGATCCTGCAAAATTATTCAACAAAACTCTTGGCCTCCCAGACATTACTCCATTTTATGTTCTTATCTTGGATCATGCCCCACAAATTACAAATAATTTTTCCATGATGCATAATGAAACAAACCACAGGATGTACCAAGGTAAGCAGCCCTAATGCTAGAAGAGCTGACCTTTTCATGTGGCAGACAGAGATCTTAAACTGAGCTGGTCAGTTAAGATGAATAGTCCCCAGATAAGGAGAGAAGACCTACTGTGAGCCTAAAGCTTTGCTATGAGAAATCATTTCTTCAAAATCTCAAAATAGGAACCAGTTTTAATGAGGAAAAGGCAATGGTTTGTGTGTAAACAACAAAGTACTTCTTATTTCTGGAGATGTTGCAGCCACTAACCTTTACTTTTCACCAGTCCTTTCCTTTTAAACTGCACAGTGTATTTTCAAGTTCTTGCTACAAATCATGTGGATGCCAGATCACAATATGCAAAGCGTGGATTGTGCGGATTAGTTTTTCCTTGAGATGCTGGATAAAACCACTGAATGCTCAAAATAGGAAGTTCCAGGCAAAGGACAGAGAAAATGTTCCTCTTGTAAAAGAGCATTGTCGAGCAGGCAAGCAAGCACAGAGTTTTCTTAACAATGGTAAGTGAAAGATCTTATCTTTATTAATTTCACCTTAGCAGATTTAAAAAGGGGGAGAAAGTTAAAAAAAAAAAAGAGGAGTTTGACTGCTTGGCAAATTGTTCACAAGTAGCTGGCACCTAAATTCCTTCAATTCAACCAACAGCTACATACTTTGAGCTGTTTCTAAATCTCACGGCTTTTGAGCTTTGAAGCAAATTGTGGAGAACTTGTCCCTATGTATGTTAAATAATAGGACAACAACTAGGTTGCATTCAGCTTAAATGACGGCAGCAATAGGGAGAACTGGGAACAAAATGGTGGAAGGATCAGTGTTTGGATTGATATTAGAGATTCAAAGTTAAAATTCCTGGCTGCATTTAGTTAATTAGATTTTTCAGGCTAATCTATCTTAGACCACTGCTGACAAGATAAAATGGCAAATAATCATTCAGGTTGCTTGAGGTTCTTGGAGGAAAGTGAGTTGAAATGCAACATTTTTTTTTAAATTAGCAAAATTGCCAGAGCTGATGAACTCAATTATGACCTTTGGGAAATTGGTAGTTGGAAACAGCTATAAGAGGCAAAGACCACTGAAATATATTAAAATTATTAAAATTATATCACATCAATCTCTATGCAACTTTCACATCAGAATGTCTGTCAGATGTTAGGAAGTTGCAAAAACAGAATGGTTAATCAACTGGTTGCATGATTTTGGTCTCTGCAAAATAGGACCTCATCTTTTACATAAGATAAATGTTATTTTTGGTACTTTGTTATTGTATGTTATAGTCTTTCTTATACTCACATGCGCTGGAATTAAGGACAGAAGGAAAAAATCAAAAAGGGGAAAGTGATGATAGTAGGAAAAAATTATCCTTTCAAAGTGATAGCATAATTCTATACAACTTTACTAAGAAGTATGCTTCATTGATTTCAGAGCAACTAATTTCCATATAAATGGTCATGAAATTACAACTTTAACCAATTTATAGACCTATTTAGAACATTTTAAAAAATGAAGTAAATGTATGGCTCTTTAATGTAAATTATCAAAACATTAAATGTGTGTGTGAGAGAGGAGGGGCAGGGAGAGATCTGTAAAGCTAAGAAAAGCTGAAGTAAGATCATATAAACATAGTCACAGTTTTACTTAGCGACCTCTTTGTTTAACAACTGAATTGCCAGTCCCAGTGGACTTTTAACAAGGACTACCTGTAGATAGGTAGACTTTATACAAGCCGCTTCAGTCCATCCCAATCTCCTCAATTGGCTAGGAATTCTAAGAACTATAGTCCCAGCATCAAAGAGCACCAGAATGGGGAAAGTGCTTCTCTTGATGTTTAACCCAATCTGCCTCTTGAGCATGAATTCAATTCCTGTAGTAACTAGGAACAATTGGACTGATTTAAGACAATTGAATATATCTATCAAGGATCTTATTCTATTTTTTTTCTTCCTTTGAAAAATTCCAAACTGCATTCTCAGAATTTTTCAGCTGTTTTTTAAACCTTGGGAATGCTGTTTTATATTCCTGTGCCTAGTTTAGAGACGTTTTTGAACCTCTAGTAGAATTGTTAACGTTTAGACAAAATAAAGAAGCAAAACAGAATGTATATTCTGAAGAATATAGTTGGTTAGATTTGCATTGAGTGTGGACTAAAAAACCCATTTTCATGCATTTGTATATGTATCTGGGAGAGGAGAGGTTTCCTGTTCTTGTCATCAGCATTGACCAATAGTTTGTGGTGTACAATAGATCAAGTCAGAATCAGCATAGTCTAAATTTCATTGCAAAAGTACATGGAGGCCTTGCTCATGACAAAAATATATATTATAAGGAAGTAAACAAACAAACAATGATCTGATTTTGTTTTCACCAAAATTTCAAATGTGAGTGACAAATGGCAGGAGAAGTCACTTAGGGATGGCCGGATTGAATTTAAGGATCAGATCTAATCCTGGACCTTTGTCAATTTCAAAGCTCTCTTGTTCTTCAGAAAAGCTGCTTCTGTGGGTGGCAGAGATTCCTTTCTGCAAAAGTTGGGTTAGAAGTTACTCTCTACACTATTATGGAGGGAAGTTGCTCAGCTGACTCTGTACTTTTCTCCATTAGGAAAAGTACCCTGTTTCTCCAACAATACGGCCTCCCCCAATAGGAAGTCCCAGCAATGTTTTATAGGCATGAAATGAAATTAAGCCCCTCCCCCCAAATTAAGGCCTATATTAAAACATGCAAAATGGGGGGGGGAATGGCAGGGGGGCTTGCCGTTAGGAAGTACTTTTGTTGCACACCCGGATATGGTGCTGCCTGCGCTGACCTCGGCATTGGTGGGGCACTTCATATCGGAAGACCTTCTGACACCGTTGCTTTCCCTTCTCCCTGTGCTGCCACAGCGTTTGGAGCAACGCCGCGGTGTTTGGCACAGCCATGTGGCGTTTGGCGCAACCACGCACGGCCAGCCAGGGCTCCTCCCTGCAACCGGAGCCTGGCGGAGACACTCGGCTTCAGGTGCTGCTTCCCTGGCTGGCGGGTCTAGCAGAGAGAGCCTGAAGCCGCCCATCCTTTCCACCCCTCACCCAGCCCGTCCCGGTCCCCATGCATCTCCAAACGTGCCGGCAGCTCCAAATGCTGCAGCGGCACGGGCATCAGGCAGAGGTGCTCACTCGGCGGGGCTCAGCTTGGAGGACGCGGCATGGGCCATCGCCTTGCCTCCCTGTCCACGGATGGGTGGGCGCTATCTCTGCCTCAGGCAGCCTCTCCCAGTGGCCACTTCAGGGTCAGGCTGGAGGGACTTGGGAAGGAAGCCAAGCTCGGGTCGGCCTGGCTCTTTCGCTTGGCAGGCGGGGCACACCCGCGGCTCACTTTCCTGGCTCTGCCAAGCCCACCCGGCTCCGGTGCAGCCCTGGTGGGATGAGCGGATGGCTCGGCGGGGAGGCGCTCACTGCTTTGGCCAGAGCTCTGTCACCGGGCAGGAGGGTCCGCCTGTCAGCTGCACTGGGCACCCCAGGTGAAGCTCTTTGCACTCTGCCCAGCGCCAGGCAAGGATGGTGGCTGGGCGCTTCTCCCACGGTGGGCCAATCCTGCACTGCGGTCTCGGGAGATTCGCCTCCCCATGTGGGGTTGGGCTGCCCTCTTGGGCAGGGGAGGCTTTGTCGTACCGGTAGTAGGGTGTCGTTTTTAAAAGAATGGGCTTTGCCTTTGAACGATGCCCGGGAAGGCGGCGACAGGAGCACCTGAAGCTGTGTGTCTCCACCGGGCTCTGGTTGCAGGGAGGAGCCCTGGCTGGCCCAGTGTGGCTGCACCAAATGCAGCATGGCTGTGCCAAATGCCATGGTGTTGCTCCAAATGCCGCAGCAGCACGGGAGAAGGGAAAGCAACGGTGGTGGAAGGTCTCCCAATAGGAAGTGCCCCACCAACACCGAGGTCAACATCCAAGCTGTCGCCGCCCGCCTGCCCGAGGATGCAAGGGGGGGAATTAAGTCACCCCCAAAAAGACGGCCTAGCCATTTTTTCGGGGCTCAAAAAAAAAAATAAGACCCGGCCTTATTATATGAGAAACACGGTATTAGGGTACAAAGTATTGGGCAAATCAGCTTAGCTGTCAGTACTACTTCTAGTGGTACCTTATATGTTGGCTTTTATAGAATTAGTTTTCTAGCTTGGTTCATTCCCTAAATCGTAATCATGACAAATTATCGACATTCATAAGGGGGGGAAAAGGAGAAATCTCCATGCCATTTGTGATTTATGTATGAGCCATAGTGTAAAAGCCTGATACTGTTTACTTCTAGACAGCTATACAGTTTGGACTCAATAGGAAAGGGAAAGGAAATGACTAGTGGTGATAGTGACATGGAGAATACAGAAGCATTCAGGGACAGATCCAGTGGTGGTAGGCTACTGGTTCAGACAGGTTCAGCAGAACCGGTAGTAAAAAAAAGCTTCTGATGATCAGCTGAGAAGAGGGGGAAAAAGCCTCACAATCAGCTGAGTGGAGAAAGAAGAGGAAAGCACAGGATGGGCCTTCCCACCCACCCCTGTGCTTTTCTCTTCTCTATCCTCTTAGCTGATTGGTGCTGCAGGACTCAGCTGGTGTGAGGAAAACTGCATGCGTGCATTAGGTTAGCACACACATGCGAACCAGTAGTGGAACAGGTAGAATCCCACTGCTGGACAGATCAGACAAAACTATCCTGTCCACCATACTCCTGCAACACTGTGGAACATGCATGACATCTGCAATGCTCAAACAAAACATTATACAACAGGAGTGTAGACTTTAGGACATGAGATGGAAGACGATATGAATCAAATAAAAAAATGAAGGAAATAGATGTCCTACTTCAGATAATGTTGGCCCATCTTCAGTCCAGATATTGAATACTAAAGATATGGAAATTGTGCTTGGGCAGATCTTGGGCAGTTTGTTGTATTTATGTTGGTGAGGAAGTTTGGAAACACAATCCAGTTTATCTGCAAAGCACCAGATTTAGTGTATGTGTAGGTGACATTTGCATGCAATACTTCTGATTATTCATAGAGTCTGAGCTAGCAATACATAAAGCTTAATGCACCTAGAAACTCTTTGAAAATAGGTTAATTTGATGGACCTCTTAGGGACAGTTGGTGAAAAATGCATTCTATGGAGCTTCTGCTTTCCCTCACTAAATATATCCTTCTCATTTTGAGCTATAAATCTGGGAAGCAAAAGTTAGCTAGCATTCTGTATCCAGGTTTTGCAGTCCAGATCTAGCACTCTTGTTCTCACCTCCATTACAGAAATACCCACTTTGGCAAAGAGATGAAATAATTATTTCCTTAGGTATAAAAGTGTCAACTGTCAACCCTGAAGTGAGCCTGAAGTTTTCTTGTGGGAACCAAGGACATTCTCACAGGTGACTGGCCAGAGGAGGAGTAAAGTAACCAAGCAACTGGCCAGCAACTGGATTGGACAGCGTGACCAGTGACTTGGGGCAAAGGGGAATCTTTTACTTTTAATAAGGTGAAAGCCGCA